GGTCGGGGTCGGCGGTCGGGGTCGGGGGTCGGCGGTCGGCAGGGATGCAACCATGCTGGAGGAGGAAAAAACGTTGGGGCCACGTCATGCCCCGAAACTGTGTGTGCATGTGTGTGCATGTGGGTGTGCATGTCCTAATTGTGTCCAGTGACTCAGTCTCTTTTCTGAAGGGTCCCTACAGCAAATCAGCAAGGACCCATCGCGAAGTAAACACAGGTGTTAGGCTTCCAGTTCTGCATGATTGGGCCGCAAATATATAGTCTGGATTCGAATTCAGGTCTTTGTATCAGCGGTTATGGGTCACTAACTCAGCTAGGCCCTGTTGCTCTCTGCACATGATTCGTTTTCCTTTTCTTAGGAATACGTGCAGTGGCCCTAAGGCCCTCTACTCACCACATGCACAAAAGACAAAACATATGGCGCCGTATGGTTCCATGTTCTAGCAGAAGATTCATTCTAATTTTGCACATTTGGTGGGTAGTGCAGCCAAGCCCTGAGAATCACATCGAGAGACCAACAGGGCCTAGCAAAGTGAGCAACCCATAACAGCTCAAACACAGACCTGAATTCGACTCCAGAGTATATATTTGGCCAGCTCCTGCTCCACTTCATACTCAAAGCCTGCCTGTATTTGGTGGAGGGTCTACGCTAACTTGCTGCGAGGACCCTTCAGATTACCTCGAGGGGCCCTCTGAAGCGTGTGAAGGGGCCCTGATCTCTCTCTCTCTCTCTCTCTCTCTCTCTCTCTCTCTCTCTCTCCCCTGTATACACACCCCCCCCCCTAAAAATAAAAATAAATAAATGAGCGCATCACTAATTTGCGCATGGCGCACGCGCACCACACCGCGCACCGCAGAAGTGCGCCACAAGTATGATAGAAAGTCATTAGGACAGGATCACAATAAACTACAAACATAAGACCGACCAATGAAACAACTAGCCACTGACTGATTTATCAGGCCATTGAATGATCAATGTCTTACTCACTTCCCCTGTTCCCCCTCCCCCTTCCCGCAACCCTCCTCCCCTCCCTCCTGCCCACCCGCAATCGACTGATGGACCAACCGGTGAGCCAACCAAGTCACTGACCTGCTCAACCACCCATCCATCGATTAAAGTATCCAATGACCTATGATATTATACTAAGTTAATCAAGAAAGAGCTCCAAAATTGTCCCCAAGGAATTGAACCTCCAACCTCCCACAAACCGAGTGAATCACTTATCAAGTGGATAAGTGTGCTAGGGCGGAAATGAGACCTGTCAAGGCAAACTTCACCCACTGTAGCATGGTGAGTATTACTTAGCATTACTTAGTACTTCTTAGTACTATTTAGTGCTGCCTAGTACTACTTAATACTACTAGAAACTGCCTAGTACTACTTAATACTACTTAGTACCATGGCACACAGACAGTGTACCTAGAGCCAATCGATCAACTGGTTCCACACCTATCTATGATAGGAACTATTGCCGTTGCTGGATTCCCATGCACACAATCAATGGATTAACCAATTTAAGTTATTTAACCCTCAATCAAGTCATTCCAATTCAAATAAGTGCAATTTGATCAGTCCGCATGTTAGGGTAAGATGGTAACATGTGGTTAACCAGGGGTCTTATTTTCGGCGAACTTTGCACCAAAACTGTCACATTGTGCTGATTTTTTGCTTTTTTCTTGTTTTTCTTTTTGTGTGAGATGTATGTGCTTTAGGGTACGTCATGTGTCCAGTTTTGACATGTCTGGATCAATAATGACAATTCGTTGGACACTTCATTTCAACTCGGACAGTGTTAGGGTTTTATAGTGTTTTTTTTTTTGTTTTCTTTGGCCTGTTTCTTTTTTTGATGTTTGCACTATGGGACCATATCGTTCGTTTTTGAAATTTTCGATGAATTTCCCACCGAAATTGCCGGCGAAAACGGTGAATATTTGCCCACCCGTTAACCATCTCTCGACCGTTTGGTTCTATAGATGACTCTATTATGTAATGGATGAATTTGAGTTGCTTTTTTTTTTTTTTTTTTTTTTTTTTCCTTTTTCCGTTGCTGATCTTCATTTGTTTGCTGCTTTTGGCCTGTCCCGATTTGGCTTTGGTAATCCATTTCTATTTCAGGATCTGCTGGATGCTGCAGCCCTTCAGGTGCTTGTTGTTCACAACTTGAGGATAGGCTCAGATGTGAGTATAGTATACGATACATGGGGTGGGACCCGGTGGGTTAGACACAAAGAGAAGAAGTGCGATGCTGAAGGCGTGTGCTCCTCTACATGCCATTTAGGGGTCTCTGTACTCGTGGATTAATGATGAAGGGTCAAATGTTGAACTAATGACATTGGTGGATATCTGCTGTCTTTCTGCATCACTTCTGACAGAGTTGGGAGAAGGAGAGGAGAAGGGTGTGGTTGGAAGTGAGAAAGTGACAAGGAATGAGTCTGACGTGGGGGTTGGGTGGGTAGGCATGCGCGTTGTGTGTGTGTGCATGTGTGTGTGTGTGTGTGTGTGTGTGTGTGTGTGTGTGTGTGTGTGTGTGTG